TAGAGGAAGATAAGAGGGAGAAGAGCAGGGGCTGCGATCGCCAAACAGCTACCTTGCTATCCCCAAGAAAATCTGCAACCAGAACACTCAATAACCGCTACCGTGTCCAGCCACACTTGGATTTGCACACAAGGTGCAGGGAGTAACGTGAGTACGCCAACTCAGTAAGTAACAACAATAAATAAAGACTGAGCAGTAGTGACGAGCAATAAAGCATATAACGTTCATATCAGGAAATCTTAGTAAAATACACATGCTCTTAAAAATCAGGATTTGAATCAAACATCTCGTTTAAACCCAGTTCCAATAAAAATCATTTTTAAAGACATTTTTATTTTCCAATAGTTTTTTTTTCAACCAAAGGCTTAATGCAAAGGCGAGCAAAAATGATGAAATCATGAACAGCCACTCGGGCAGACCTCACAGTCACTCGTGCCACTCGGGCATACCTCACAATCACTCTTTCCACTCGGGCATACCTCACAATCACTCTTGCCACTTGGGCATACTTCACAATCACTCTTGCCTCCCAGTCACTCAGCACTAGGCACTCGCAGTCAATAGGTACCTGCGCTCACTGGGAGTGTGTACAGACTCCGGAGTGGATCCTTCATCCCAAGCGCTATAATCTGCACGGACAACTCACGTGCGATAATAATAAAGTATGTTGCAGGCGGGTAGCCCCGATCCACACTCATCCTCACAAATCAGGCACTCGGCCTCACTCAGTCACAAGTATGCTGCAGGCGGGCAGCCTCCATCCACACTCATCCTCACAAATCAGGCCCTCGGCCACACTCAGTCATAAATTGTTTAAGCCACTCGGGCATTTTCAGTAAAACAGGGCATTCGGCCCAAATCATTTATATGCATCAAAATAGAGTCATAAAAACTGAGTTATGCGGTAAACAAGCATAAACATGACTGAGCATAGATTTTCAATCGAAAACAATGAGAGGATGGTAAGAAACAGCCCCTAAGGGTCCATACAGCATTGGCGCAAGGCCCAAACATGGCATTCAGCCCAATTTACAGAAATTCTTTCTAAAACATATAAGTATCAAATGGTTTCAACAAAGTATGCAACTTTACAGTTGTCACGGGACGGACCAAGTCACAAATCCCTAATAGTTCACGCCCACACGCCCGTCACCTAGCATGTGCGTCACTTTAAAATAATAGAATGATACAAAATCTGGGGTTTCATACCCTCAGGAATAGATTTACAATCGTTACTTACCTCAAACCAGCCAAATCTCTACCTCGCAATGCTCTTGCCTCTGGATTCGGCCTCCAAATGCTCCAAATCTATTCACAATCAGTATAATACCATCAATATACGCTAATGGAATGAATTCCACAAGAAAAGCTTCAAAATTAGACCAAAACCCGAAATTGGCTCAAATTTGCCTGTGGGGCCCACATCTCGAAACCCGACAAAAGTTACAAAATCCGAAAGCCCATTCAACCACGAGTCTACCCATGCCAATTTTACCAAAATCCGACCTCAACTCGACCCTCAAATGTATAAATCTTATTTCCAAATTTCTAAGTTCCAATCTCCGATTTACACCTTAAAATCATGTAATCTAGCCGGATTATTCGATGATAATTCAATATTATGGAGTAGAAATGATAACAAGGGACTTATCTCAAGTTTTTCCTTGAAAATATACCAAAATCCGGCTCTCATCAAGCTCCAATTTGCCAAAAATAGCGAATGGGACGAAGTCCCTGTTTTTATAATTCTGCCCAGACATCCTCGGTCTTCGATCGAGGTCCTCGATCCTGGCCCTCGATCCTGGGCCTCGATCTTGATTCTCGGTCCTAGGCCTTCGATCATGCCTTCGATCCTGGCCTTCGACCGTGACCCTCGACCCTGGGCTCGATCATATCTTCGATTGTGGCCCTCGATTCTAGGCTCGATCATATCTTCGATCGTGGCCCTCGATTCTGGGCTCGATCATGCCTTCGATCGTGGCCCTCGATTTCGGGCTCGATTGCTGAGAGATTGCCNAAAAGTCAACCCCCAGTCAAACTTCTCAAAAATAAAACTTTCGGCATTTCAAGCCTAATTCCTCCACGGACTCCCAAATAATATTCCGGACACGCTCCTAAGCCCAAAATCACCATACGGAGCTATTTGAATCATCAAAATTCAAATCCGAGGTCGTTTACATATAGGTCCATATCCGGTCCACTTTTCTAACTTAAAATTTTTAATTATGAGACTAAGTGTCTCATTTCACCCCGAGTTCCTTCTGGACTCTAACCAACTAACCCGATATAACATAATATAGCTGAATAACACAAAAAGAAGTAGTAATGGGGAAAACATGGTTATAACTCTCGAAACGACCGACCGGGTCGTTACAATATTAGACGCATCAGTCTCGATAATCTTTTGCCATGCAGGATTAGCAAGGGTTAAGCAAGGTAAAGATTTAACACGTTGCTTAATATTTTTAACCAAAGTAGTATGACTATCAGTCCAAGGGTTTTTATAATTCATTTTTAGCCTATCATAAAAGAGGGCTAAATCACGCGACAAATCTTTATAAAAAGGCGAAATATAACTTAAACTTCCCAAAAATCTTTGTAACTAAGTTCTATTAGTAATAACATCGAAAAATTTTGAAGCAAAATCAATCGATCTTTGAATAGGAGTAAACTTTCCTTGACAAATATAATGTCCTAAATATCGAATGTTAGTTTGGAATGAACTCATTTTTTGTTTTGAGATAACCAAACCATTTTGTATAACAATTCTTTTAAAAATATCTAAAAGCTTAATATGCATTTCAAGTGTTTTGGAAAATACCAAAATGTCATCGATATAAACAATGATAAAGTTTAGATAGGGGTTGAAAATATCATTCATAATTTTTTGGAATTCAGAAGTGGCATTCTTCAAACCAAACGGCATAACATTCCATTCATATTGCCCAAATGGAACATTAAAAGCAGTTCTATAAGTATGTTCTTTAAATATTTGAATTTGCCAATATCCAGATTTTAAATCAAATTTTGAAAATATATTGGCATCATATAATCTTGACAATAAATCTCTTTTATTGGGAATAGGATACCTAACCCACTTCAAATATTTATTCAAGGGTTTATAATTAATAACCAATCTAGGAATACCACGTTCTTTTTCAGCTGCGTTATTAATATAAAAAGTTGTGCAAGACCAAGGAGATTTTGAGGGTTTTATCAAACCCTTTTGTAACAAGCTATCAATCTCTTTTTTGCAGAATTCCACCAATTCCGCGTTCATCTGACAATGTCGAGATTTAGTAGGAATATCATCCTCAGAGAAATTATCTTCATATGGAAGAGCGACAATATGCTTTTTTCGATTCCAAAAAGCACTAGGATGCTCAGCACAAATACCAATAGCAATCTGTTCGGAAATCAATTTGATCTTTTCCTGTACTTTAGTAGAATTTAAAGTATCAAATATATCCATACTAAATAATTCTAATTGCAAAGAATAAATATGTTTCTGCTTCATATCAATTAAAGCATTAATATCTCTGGTTACTGGATCTGTAACAAAAGTATAACTTATCTCTTTATCCTTATAGGTAGCAGTAAATCCTTTCGAGTCTATGCTAGTAAAAGGATAAATGGCGTTAATAAACGGTGTTCCAAGTACAATAGGAGGGTATAACTAGTTTTTAACCAAGAAAAAGAAGTAAGGAATACAGACTTTATTTTGACAAATACCCGTATTAGGTAATTTATACTTTATATCTAAAGCATGTCCGGATGCAGACCTAATCATATGAGTAGTTTTTTGAAAATATTTCGTAGGTATTAAACCTTCTTGAATGCAGCTAACATATGCTCCACTATCAATCATGGCAATGTTTGTAATAGAAAAACTATTATCAATGAGAATAGTACATTTGATATACCATTTATGAGCAGTAATAATTTGCATCATTCCTAAAAACATATCATGTTTAGGATCAAAACTAATAGGTTTTTCTTCAATATTATTTTCAGAAATACCTTTGTTTTTATCATTAGATTTCTCAGCTAGAGAATTGATTTTCTCAATCTGAGTAATCCTATGATCACAAATCATTTGATTTTTTTTAAGAGATTTGATCTCTCGTTTCAAGTTTTCAATTTCAACCTTTAAATCATTGAAAGAAGAATCTCTTGCTGGAGTTGCATTTTTATTTAAAAGACGGTTATTAACCTCTAGTAAAGAATAAGGCGGATAATATTCAAATTCTTTTTCAAAAGGTTTTGCAAAACTAAAATTTGAACTAGAACTTGAACTAGCAGCCAAATTAATAATTTTTTCACGAAGTTTTTCATCAATAACTTCTTTTAAAAGTTCTATTACATTATCATATGTAATAGTTTTTATGTTCAAATCTTGAAATTGTGATTAAAATTTATAAAATTCATCATCATCACAAGTACATGTATCACCTTTGCAAGTTGTACAAGTATTACCAATATTTTTATCACTATCAGATTAAATCAAGTAAATCTATTTCAGCTTCTAATTCTGACTCAGAATAATAATCAGATTCTGATCCAGAAGTGTATAACAAACCATAAACCTTATCACGTAACTCATCGTCTAGTCCTAAGGTTTTCAGCTTTTGAAGCTTACAATTCGGGGCTATATGGCCTAATTTACCACACTTATAACACTTAATGTCAGCAAGATCTCGCTTAGACCTATTTTTGGTAAATCTAGTAGCCTTACGATGGGCTTTCTTAGCTTCTCGTTCCTCTTTGGATCTATATCTAGATCTCTTTCTCCTATAAGGACTATCTTGGTTGGGGTATCTATGATACTTATGTTTCTTCTTCTTATGAGTAAAAGTCTCGGGTAAACCGAACTGAGTACAAAAATCTCCTAACTGGGATTTTTCTTTAAGCTTATCCATCTTAAGCTGTCTAGATAATCTTAACTCATTGCACATGTTTAATCCTTCCTGTGTGCAAATTCCTATCAGCTTACCATAGGTATAATCAACGTACGGAATTTCACCATAGCTACCTCTTAAAATCTTTCTAACTCTTTCAGCAAATAAAGAGGGAAGGCCATCTATAAACTTAGCTTTCCAATGTTCTAACTTATTTTCTGGTAGTTTCATCACTCTACTCATAAAAGTGTCTTTATACCATCTAAACTCACCTAAGGTCTTACATCTAAGGCCATTAAGGAGAGTACGGACAATCTCATTCTGATTGGTAAATCTACCATTAAAATGTTCTAGAATAGTAAGAATAAGGGTATAAACAGCATCTTCTCTATTTGCCACTAGTGCCATGCCTAAGTTATCAACTCCTTCATCAATGGCTTTAGCTTTAATAACTAATGCCCTTTCTTCGACAGTCAAATAGTTATCCCACCAGCCACGAAGTTGGCCAGTAAAACCTGCAACAATCATTCTGTAAATATTTCTATCTGTATTTTTCACACTTTTACAGATAGTTGCATACATTAGCATTCTATGTACAAGAATAGT